ACATAAACAGTTGATTAACAGATTTTTTTTATGTTATACATATTATATACTGTATTCTTACAATAATATAACCTGGAGAAAAGAAAATGTTATTAAGAAATTCACAAGGAAGAGAAAATATACTTCCTACTCATTAACTGGAAGTGGACCATCATAAAGGTCTTCATCCTATTCATCTTAATGTTGAGTAGGCTAAGGAGAAGGAAGAGGAGGGTTTGGTCTTGCCATCTCAGGGGTAGCAGAGGCAGAAGAAAATCTGAGTATAAGTGGACCTCAGCAGTTCAAACCTGTGTTGTTCAAGGGTCAACTGTATATTAAACATTTGACCAATATGTGCTCAGTAAAAGGTAACCATCATTGGTCTGAAATGATTCTGTTCATTTTCTTAGAAAGTGACTATATTTTGTTGCTGATACAGCTTCCCTGTACTGCAATACTTACTGAGGTCACCAATACCTTGCCGGTACTACAAGTATATTTTTGCTTTGTTTGTTTTTCTGATCTGTAATATTTTGAATTTCTAATCTAATCCAGGAGGTTGGGAGATGCCCCTAATAGACAAGAGAAACCTGGGAGGGTCTCCTATTACCAGATCTATTCCTGTAATACCCAGGTTTTGAGATACAACGTTGTTAGCAAGTTCTCCCTCATTTGGTATCATTCAAAATCTGATAAACTTGGATTTTAGGCATTGTTGATCAGTTCCATTTAAAAGGAATTGGTGTAAGTCATTTCAATGAGCACAGAAAAATCTTGGAGTCAAACAGCCTTATGATAGGTACATCTTTTGAAGCCTGGTCAGACAGTAGGGGCCTTTAGTTGATAGTAAAGTGATAATCTGAGTTGTCTTCTTTGGTACTAAGCATTGGTTAATTCTAACAGCAGGAACGGTTGAAAACTCCAAGAAACAATCTTCACATTGCATTGATTTTGTTACAGTTGACACTATTTACAAAATTGGCAGGTTCTGTAACAGAACTGCCCTACAAAGTACCTCTTCTGAAAAAGTCATCCCCTCAAATGTGTATCTGTTGAACTTTTCAGCTATTGTGGTTTCCAAAAAATGCACATCTATTAAAAGTGGGCTTAATTTCTTAGGAGATCAATTATTCATTCATCCATGCAGCAAGTTCAACAATTGATAGCCCAAGTCAAATCACTGCACTGGGTGCTGGGTGTACAGTGGTGTTCTAAAGTTCTGGCTCTTGTGGGGCTTTATTGTCTAGTTGAGGGTTGGAAAAACATGCACATAAATTAAAATGCAGGGTCCTGTGAAAGAAATGAGCACATAAATTAAAATGCAGGGTTCTGTGAAAGAAATGAACAGCGTTGGGGACCTGTTTAGTAGTTTTGCAAACTACTTAAGTAAAAGTTCAGCTCTGCAACTTAGGAGCTGTGTGCCTTGAACACAGGAATGGTGAAAATGAGTTGTTGAACACGCACTCGGATGGTTCCAGTTCCCGGCAAAGGGTCCCATCAGGTCAGGCGTGTGAATGCAGAACGGGCTGTATAGTGACCACTGTGTCGGAGAAAAGGGGTGTCGCTGCGGCCTCAGGCACTCAAAAGGAGAAACTGGAGGGGGCTTTCGGGCCCTCGGGGATGGCTTAGCAGCAGGAGGCGGAGCACACATGGCAGTTGTGGGGAAACCCCTGTGGGAGGGGACTTGGCTCCCGGTCCGGTCGCTCGATCTCAGAGCTTTCCAGCAGCCTAGCGCCACGTCAAGGAGCAGCTGCCCCTCCCCTCGCTGCGAGTCGCACGCGCGGAAGTAAACACCTCTACGTCATCAGGGCGCGTCCTCGCCTTTCCCCCCTCCCATCTCTTCAGATCGGTGGACGTGCTCACCTCCGCTCGGGGCCAGGTCTATGTCCCGGTTTCCCGCCGTCGCGGGCAGGGCGCCAAGGCGGCAGGAGGAGGGTGAGCGGTCAAGAGACCTCCAGGAAGAGCGGCCCTCGGCTGTTTCCATCGCTGATAGAGGTGCGGTCCGCGGGACGCTACGGAAGCCAGTGGGAGTTATGGCATGGGGGTTTTCGGGGTTGAAAGTATGCCTTTGGCTGGTAGAGAAGAGTAGGGAGGAAGCCGCGGCCTTCTCGTGGCCCTGCAAGCCATCCGCGAACTTTGCGTCCAATGAGCACTTTGGCTTAGAGGGGGGCGGTCCCAGACCCAAGTTCGGTGAAAACCTTGCTGGGGGGCAAAAAAGTGAACCCCAACGCCGAAATGCGTTCTGCTCTTAAACAGACTCATAAAGCCTTTGTTCTCTACCCATTCATCCTCCCCCCTCCTTCGTCGGGCCGCCAGCCTGCCTTTGGGTACTGTATGAAGGGAGCCAGTTTCCAGGAGCCAGTTTCCATGGTTACCTACCACTTGGCCTTCTGGGATATCAGTCACTCTGAACAGGGACCTAACTTGAACCATGAATCAGAAGCAAACACAGGTGGTTTCTAATCCAGCTGAGAATTTTCTGCTGTGTTCCAGTTTTTGGTCTATTGTTTAATAAAATTGGGTTTTGGGCTTCTGTGTAAGTATTCATGT